TCTCTCTGTCAAATAAATAAATAAAATCTTAAAAAAAAAATTAAAAAAAAATCCTAGAGCCATTGGTAAATCCCACCATCAGTAAAGTAGCCTTAAGGAAAGCCGATATACATTGTATTTTCTCATCTGTAAACTGGAGCATGTATAGGAGCCCCCCTCAGACATAATACCCCATGCTCCTCAGACAAATATGAGAAATGTGGGTAATGAATTTGGTATAGAGAGATTTTTAGAATAAACGTGGCCTCCTTTATTGGTTTTCATTCCATGCATACCTTTTCAGTGCAAATGTGGATAATATTTAAGCACAGTTTAAATAGTTTATACAGAATAACAAATCCAAATAGTAAAGTATAAAATAGAAAATGAAAGCCTCCTCATTTTCATCCTCTGTCAGCTAAACTTAACCAGACTGACACATTTTTTTAATTAAATTTTCTCTGAGATAACTGTCGATTATATACAGTTGCAAGAAATAATAGAAATGTTGTGTCCCTTTAACTTGGTTATCCTCAATTATAACATCTTGCCAGTCACAACCAGGAAATTGACATGGATATGCAAGAAATGGAACAGGAAATGATAGATTTTTAAATAACTTGTTGTCTTCCTTGTCAGTGATTCTTTACTAGAGTTAGGTGATCAGAGTAAGCTACCTGAGTGTTGGGATGAGGTCATGGGAATATTGCTTGCCTGCTGTCGATCATTTGAATGCATCTGCCTTATACAATCCATGGTATGGTGGGCATTTTCTTTCCCTCCCAGTTCTCCATTCTCCCCTTTGACATATTTCTAGGCCTTTTTTTTCTCCAGCTTTATTGAGATATAATTGACATATGATGTATTAGTTTAAGTCTACAATGTGTTGATCTGATACACTTACATATTGCAAAATTATTACCACCATAATGTTGGCTAACCTCTCCATCACCTCACATAATCACCATTTCTTTTTTGTGGTGAGAACATTTTAAGTTACTCTTAACTCTTAACAAAATAGATACTTTTCAAGTATCTATTACAGTATTATTATTATATCTAGTTTTTTGAATTCATCAAGACTGTGGAAGGACAATAGGGTGAAAATTCTTGATGTAGTTAATACCATGGAATAAATGTATTCTATTAGTGCTTGCCACAGAAAACTCCATAAATAGTCTCCTTCCATGGGCAGGGGTGAAATTACAAACTCCTGATGACAGCTTGCTTTTTAATAAATTAGGACTCAGCAGTTCCTTTCAGGTTTTTTGGCAGAACAAAGACTCCTGGAGTATCATTCTGATAACTAATGGAAAAGAGAACTTTTTCCAAGGAGGCAGAGATCCCCCAGGCAAAGTAATGATGGGAGTGTTGAAGACAGACCTGCTCCCCTTCTGCTGGTATCGCAGGGTGAAATTAGTTTCCTCCTGGGCTTTAGAGTAAAAGTGATTGGAAAGAAGTACAGTTACAGGGTTGAATGAACGTGATACCCTGGGATTTTCCTTTGTCATGACATGTCACTTAAGTAAAATCGAGAATACAATGATCATATGAAAGTTGATTCACATATAATTACCCCTCATTTTATATTTAGCTGCGCTTTCCAGAAAGAGTTCACTTTTTCTTCTCTTATTAAAGCAGAGAATTTCATAGTAATAAGAAGAGAGGTATTTAAATGTTTGACCAGGTAGTATCTTGGTGGCTTAGAGAGGGTTATGTGTATATTTATTTGCATGATTGTTTGTATACTAGTTACTCTAGCATTGCCCTGTCAGCAAGCTCAAAATTATTGCCTCCCAAGGTGGGGCACGTCATAGAAATGAGCGGCTCAGATGTGGTGGGGAGCTAGGGGCATTTTTCTCCTTTAAAGGGGCAGCCACTGTCTCACTAGCCCGATAAGAATGCCTGCTGGTATCATTGCCATGTCTTTCAGTCTTCAAGAGAAACTGTAAATTGGATTTTTTAACGAAAGCGTTTATAAGCAGGCAAATAATTCAAATTTTAAATCAAAGCCCTGTGCACTATGTCCTTCTGCACCATATGCTTCACTCTAGTATATTTTTCATTTAATTTTCAACAATTTTGTACTCACTGCCAGAGATGTCACGAAGTATAGCAGTTACCTCAATTTTAACCAACCTCGCAACCTTTGCCCCCAAACCTGCTGCTCTCTGAGGTTCTCATTCTATCTATATTAGCCTTAGTGTTCCAGTCATTTCTGGACTCAGAATCTCAGTGGGTTTTTTGTTTCTTCTCTTCCCCACTAAACCAAAACCCAAATCTGTTGATTTTTTTTTTTTTAGATTTTATTTAAATTCAAGTTAGTTAACATTAGTTAACTAATTAGCATTAGTTTCAGGAGTACAATTTAGTGATTTATCAGTTGCATCTAACACCCAGTGCTCATTACATCAGGTGCCCTCCTTAATGCCCATCACCCAATTACCCAATTACCCCATCCTCCCAGCCACCTCCCCTCCAGCAACCCTCAGTTTGTTTCCTAGAGTTAAGAATCTCTTATGGTTTATCTGTCTCTCTGATTTTACCTCATTTTATTTTTCCTTCCCTTCCCCTATGTTCATCTGTTTTGTTTCTTAAATTCCGTATATGAATGAAATCATATGGTATTTGTCTTCCTCTGACTGACTTATTTTGTTCAGCATAATACCCTCTAGTTTCATCCATGTCATTGAAAATGGCAAGATTTCATTCTTTATGATAACTGAGTAATATTCCATTGTATATACATCTTTATCCATTCGTCAGTCAATAGACATCTGGGCTTTTTCCATATTTTGGCTATTGTGGACATGGCTGCTATAAACATTGGGGTGCATGTACCCCTTTGAATCACTATGTTTGTATCCTTTGGATAAATACCTAGAAGTGCAATTGCTGGGTTGTAGGGTAGTTCTGGGGGGGAGGTTTTTGTTTGTTTTTGTTTTAAGATTTACTTATTTATCCGAGAGAGAGCGAAGGAGAGAGAGAATGCAAGTTGGGGGATGGGCAGAGGGAGAGAGAGAATCCCAAGCAGGCTCCATGCCCAGTGTGGAGCCCAACTTGGGGCTCAATCCCAGAACCCCAAGATCAGGACCTGAGCCAAAATGAAGAGTCAGATGTTTAACTGACTGAGCCACCCAGGCACCCCAGGGTAGCTCTATTTTTAACTTTTTGAGGAACCTCCATATGGTTTTCCAGAGTGGCTGCACCAACCAGCTTGCATTCCCACCAACAGTGTAAGGGGGTTCCCCTTTCTCTGCATCCTCACCAACACCTGTTGTTTCCCGAGCCGTTGATTTCTTTTTGCTTGTGAATTTCTGTTTTTCTTTCCCTTCCCTTTCTAGCTGTCCCATTCCTAGCTCTTGTACTGCTCTTCTGATCTGGATTCTCCCCACATTCTAGGTCCTATAGCATTGGCCAACCAGGTTGATCATCCTTTTTTAAATACTTCTTTCATTATCTACCTTCTCAAAAACTTCTATGGGTCTCTGTAGTCTTCCGTATAAATTCCACAGCTTCTCTCTAGATGTGCAGGTGTCACAGTAGTTTTATCTGAGTGTCTATCTACATTTCTGCTGGTATTCTTGGTAAAGTTAACTCTCATCCCCCATCTGTCTGGCTGGAGCTGCCGGTAAATCTTGTGGCAGTTTCTGGAATATGGGTGGATTCCTCTCCTTGGACTCATCTGCCGAGATGGGGTAGCTTCTGGAGTTCTCTACCCTGCCCCCTGCCAATTTTTTGTTTTGGTTGGTTTGTTTGTTTGTTTGTTTACTACTATCATTTGGGCTGCAAGCCTCAGGGTCAGAAAAGAGTGGGATAAAGGAAAACCCCAGGCCAATCCTCTAGCTCAGGAAGAGGCTAGAGGAGGAAGGAGGCCGCCTTGGGCTTTAGATTCCCACTATGCCCAAATTGGGGCTTCTCTGTGGGAGACTTTGGGATGCAGAGGCCTTGTTTTATTACTCAGGGAATTCCTTCTTCAACCAATTTCTGCTTTCTCTCCCTCCAGTTAAGGGCAGAAATTCTTGCTTTTATGTGAAGCCTTACCAGCCACAGGAATTTTGTGATTTGAATGCAGCATATGCTCATTTACCTTGCAACCCACCCAGTTGTGCATGCCATTAGATATTTGAGTGAGTGACTCAGTCACTTTAATCTACTGGAGCAATGTGTCGGTCAATTGATGAACTTCTCTATTCGGCAAAGTCTTAAGAAAATTTCTTACTTCAGTGAAGTAGTGATAATTCATGGGAATAGATTCTCTCCTGCCTTCCTCAGCCCTTTAAGCTCCTGATATGGCACATGACACCCAGTATTAGATGTGAACATGTGACTCTCTCCCATTTTGCTCTGAGTTCTGTGAAGCCACCGTTGCTGCTTTTTTGTGTCTCCAGCAGTGCCAGGTCTGGTATGTGCCAAGCACTCAGTGCACTAGACCCTGAGCATTCTCTATTGACACATCCTGGGTCTATCAGGAACCTTCCAGTCAGTGACTGTCATTAACTGCGACATGAATGTCGAACCGCTGGAAACCTCCAGCTATGGCAGGCTGTCACTCTCCTCTCAGCCCACGTCTCAGACTCCACCAGCCGCACGCTCTCCTGTTTAACAATACAGTGACCCTCTTGGAAGTAAGTACGATTATTTTCTCCACCACAAATTATTGTATGGCATCGGCTTGCTAATAGATGAAACCACAGATGGCAAATCTGTGACTGCCGAGGGTCTACTGTGCAAGTTTCCATGGGTAGATAAATAGATGATTAGAAAAAGTGGTATGATTAGGCTTTCCATTGTAATATATGAAACACTTTGGTCCAAAATATTCAGAAGATTGAACTGGGAAACCAGATGAAATAACACAAAATTTAATCTTCTTCTTCTCCCTCTTCCTCCTCCTTCTTCTTCTTAGCTTTTCCCTCTACAAAGAAGGAATAACAGACACAACTTGGAGATTGTACTAGACTCTCTCAATCCTCAGTAAGAATTAATGTCACTTCTTTCATTCTCTTTTTCTTTACCAGGTGATGGCTGTGGGCACATAGTGACCTATCAGGACAGTGGCACAATGACGTCTAAGAATTATCCAGGGACTTACCCCAATCACACGGTTTGTGAAAAGACCATCAGAGTACCAAAAGGGAAGAAGCTGATTCTGAGGTTAGGCGATCTGGATATCGAATCCCAGACCTGTGCTTCTGACTACCTTCTCTTCACCAGCAATTCCGATCAGTATGGTAAGAAAAGAGGTCTAGGTTTCTGTGAGCATGAAGTAATTTGAAGCTTGGGAGGGAGGGCAAGTGGTGTGTTGGTGAGTATTATAGCCTGGGAAGATTAGAAGAGAAGCTTGCTTTTTGTAAACTCCTAGGGTAGCTCACGTGGACACACTTGCTTCCTAAGCTGCAACAAAGACATCTAAGGAGATTTAGCACTAGCCTTGTGTGTGTCCCAGGGGCTTTGTTTGAGTGTGTATCTTGCTGGGAAGAGAATTGGAGATGTATGGCACTTGGCTAAAACATCTACAAGTCATTCATTCATGTGACAGATATTTATTGAACAGTGATCATGTATTCAGGAACTCTGTGGGATACAGCGTGAAAAAACAAAGTTCCTCCTTCACGGAGCTTGCTTTGGTGGGGAGGGCAGATGGAAAATCAAATGCATCTATCATATGAGGGGTAGTGAGAAAGAAGAATGAGAATAACAAAAACAAGGCATCCTAAGGTTGTATAGAGCCTGTTTTTGAGTCGGTTTCTACTACTTCAAATGGGATGGTCAGGAAGATTTCTCCAGTACGGGAACATTTGAGCAGAGACCCGAATGACTCGAGGGAATGGACTGTGCACATGTGTCTGAGGTCAGAGTTTTCTGGGGAAGGTAACAGCAGATGCAGAGGATAATTTCCAAAATTATCTTTTGAAATCAAGCTTTTTTTGTGCTTTGGGGTGTGCAGTTAGCACATTGGAGTCTGAAATCACCAGAACAGTGACCCTGTGATCCCAAGTCCAAGGGAATAGCTTAGGTTTAGACAATTCAAAAATAAAGATGAAATCTTATATACAGGTTGTTTTGAGGTTAGAGGTTTATGGAAGTTCTCTTTGCATACGGCTCCCAAAACGATACAGGTTTTGTCTGCCTACTAGCTCTGCAGGCAGTTTCTCAAACACACACAACTTTCGATGTTGTCTTCACCTTTGCACGCAGACGTGTTTCCTCTTCCCTGCCGCCTCCTCCCAGCGTGGAGACCCCGACTAGCCTGGAGACCATTCAGAGGTCTATGCTTATCTAGCCCCCATGGAAAAAAAAAATCTAGGATTTTTTTTATCCCTGAGAATATTATGTCTATTTTAATGATTGCTGAATTACTCTGACAGAATAAAGATAGTTGATTTCGTATAATTGGTTGCAACTTTTTACTGCAGTTTGATTCAGATGGGAAAAATGAGGGGCACTTGGGTGGCTCAGTTGGCTAAGCATCTCACTTCGGCTCAGGTCATGATCTCAGGGGTCCTGGGATCAGCCCCGAGTGTGCCTCTGTGCTCAGCGGGAGCCTGCTTCTCCCTCTCCCTCTGCCCCTCCTCCCACTCATGCTTTCTCTTTCTCAAATAAATAAATAAAATCTTTATAAAAAAACAAACAAATGGGAAAAATGAGTATTTGAGGGATGCTGAAAGCCCCTGGGAATGCTTACTGGTGATCACGTGTGTATTAATTTGTGGAAGCACTCTTGAGGGAATCCCTCATCAGCCAGGAAATGTCATTCACGTTCAGAGGGGAGGATTGAGTTCAGAGCCCTCCTGTAAGATGTGAGGCAAACGCTGTTGGGCCAGCCACGGCTTTCCCACACTGGTGTCTCCTGGGGACCGTCTACTTTCCTGGAAGAGGAGCAGTTTCTTCCATCTGCTGGCAGAGCAGCAGAAAGTAGCCCTCTCTGTTGCTTGCCACCTCTCTCAAATCAGAGGTGAGGTGAGAAGAACTAGAAAGGGGAGCAGATCAGCGCCAAGCAGGATTGGAGAATGGATGTTGCTTTCCCACACCGTGAGTTTACTTTATCAGCTCTGATGTATACTCACGAATATCCAGGAAAAGAGGAAACACATAGGGTTAACGACATATTAGGAGCTAGGTTCTGAGGTGATTGTGGTCGGCTTCAGGGCACCGATCTCCACCATTTCTAGATTTCTCGGATTTTCAAGGCTTAGACCCATCACTAGCAAATGACTAATGAACTGCAATTCACCTGTAGCAGTAAAGCCAAGTAAATTATTTTTCTCTTTATATTTTTTCTATATACCAGTTAGGTTTATCTTTTAAAAACAGAATTTGTGCTCATTGTAGAAATAAACATATTCAGGGTCTGTTGTAATGCCAGGCACATGCTTGACCCTTACATAGATTTTCTGGAATCCTTATATCCACCTTGGAGGTAAATGTTATTAACTCCTTTCTACAAATAGGGAAACTAAAGCACAGTGAGTTGGGTTTTGTTTTTGTTTTTGTTTTTGAGTAACCTGCCAAAGGTCACACAGCTAGTTGAGGGATGAAAGGAGGATTTGTGTCCATGCCTTTGTGGTTCAGATACCTCTGATTCCAGATGTCTGCTCCTTTGTCCCAGTCCCACAACTCAAAGAAAACCACAACACATTCTTAGCCCAATATTATATCATACAGCAATTTTGTCTAAAATGCAGGTAGAGCTAATATTTTTGGCTAGGGATGTTCTTAAGATAAAATATTTAATGATGCTCAGAATGTTTCTTTTGTGGCTACCTTAAAGATTTCCTGATCAGTCATGCTAAGACAAACCCAGCAGACAGGGGTAAGGGAAATTAGCAATAAAGGAAATATCTGGAAAGAAAATTAGGATATTTTAGTCCTGTAAGAATATTTTAAAAAAATTAAATGCTTAGGGCGAGATATAGAAAGTGTATACATGCATATGCTGTGTGTTGCATATATATGTTTGTGTCTTTTGTAGTTTTGAAGAGCATTCTGAGAGGAGCCACTATTCATATGCATGTGCTTATAATATTTAATCCAGTGATTTGAATGTAGTAGATCTACTCAGTGAATAAATGATTTTTTAATAAAGTGAATCAACAAGTTCAATGACATGGAACCAGTTAACTAAAACATGTTACAATTACTTGGCATATTAAACACATATTTGTTTAAAAGACTATTAATATGGGAAGCTGCTTATGATATAGTATTAGGTAAAATATGAATATATGCTAATGTTATAACAGTAAGAAAAAAACCTTCCAATAAAATAAGACAACATAACTTTAGCAGAATCTTAAAAGTGAGACTTTAGAAGTTTTAACTACTGATATTGTTATATCTTCTCTCTACTTTCTATTTTTTCTTTCACAAACATAAGTTAATATGTTGTTAATGCAGGGACGCCTGGGTGGCTCAGTCAGTTAAGCGTCTGCCTTCCCCTGGGGTCATGATCCCAAGGTCCTGGGATCGAGCCCCATGTCCAGCTCCCTGCTCAGCAGGGAGTCTGCTTCTGCCTCTGCCCCTACCCCTCGCTCGTGCTCGCTCTCTCTCTCCCCCTCTCTCACAAAAATAAAGAAATAAAAAAAAAAAATCTAAAAAAAAAGTGTTAAGACAGAACAAATCGATTTCCTTGGACCCAAAACACGAACTAGACCAATATTTTAACTTAGTTAAAATAGTCCCGTGGTCAGTTTGAACCCCCCTAAGGAGCACAGGCATCCGCAAAGGAGGAGGAAGGAGTGCTTTGTCATCCTGCCCCCCAGCTCAGGGTGGGCGTTCCTATGGGGCTGCTGCCCAGTTCCCTAGGAGAGTGGGAGGCCACTCGGCGTGCCTTCAGAAGGAGAATCCTAGTGTTAGTGCAGGGTCCCAGGGAGCCACGGCACTTGGCTGGGCTGGCGGGGGTAGGGGACGTATGTTGTGGAATACCTCTTTGAAATTCCCATATATGAGGGCTCTGACGATTACAAGTGTGGCCGAAATAGCCGAATCGTTTTAGTTTATCCAGCTCGATTTTCTTCATTAACCAATTAATTATTAAAACCCGTGCCAAGAGATTTTAAGACTCAACACTATCAGAATTTTGAAAAAGGAGTTAACGTTTTGAAAAAGAATAATGTTTTCTGGCATTAGTGTTTGCAAGCTCTGCCAAGAATGGAAGTACTTGGAATGTGATTGCATTAACAATTGTGAATATGCTGGAGCTGTATACTTTTTAATCATTGTGCAGTTCATGTGTAATGGTTCGTCCCCCTGCCAATTTTGTTCTAAATGGTTCATATACTTTTGGGCGCTGTTATAGTCCACACTCATGAGAGTAAAATGCACTGTAAACAAGTGTAAGCCACACCAGTTTTCCCAGTAATCAGAGAAAATATACACTTGATCTCATTGCTTTTAAAAGGCCTGATACAGACAAGATAGGATTATTATTCTTCTGTTTGTCAGGTATTATAATTACAGTTGATATTTCAGATTCAACATCAGTTAGAAGGATTACATATATATTTCTTACTGAGTGAAGACTCTTCCTTTCAAAATACGCTTGAAACAGCCAGGCAGCAGCAAAGTTGACAAAGTAAAGAATATCAACCTTACTTTGGAAAATATGTTTTTTTTTAAGAACAAAATAAGTTTTGGGGCGCCTGGGTGGCTCAGGCTGTTAAGCGTCTGCCTTCCCCTTGGGTCATGATCCCAGGGTCCTGGGATCGAGTACCACATCAGGCTCCCTGCTCAGCAGGGAGTCTGCTTCTTTCTCTCCCTCTGCCCCTCCACCCCGCTCATGCTCTCACTGTCTCTCAAATAAATAAATAAAATCTTAAAAAAAAAAAAGAACAAAATAAGTTTTTAAAGATGTTCTTAAACACAAATTTTACTTTTAAACTTACAAAACATTTTGGATCTAAACACATATACCGACTTTCAAGATCATGTGTGCTAATACCCTGGCTAAAAAAAAAAGTCTTTAAGAAGTATCATAGTTTGCTTAGTAGAGGTTGTTTTTACTGTAACTGAGGGAATTCTGGGTTTTTGTTTGTTTAGGAGACCGAAGAAGCTGATACTACCTTCCAAAGAAACATTAATGTCCCTTTTATCTTCTAGGATTCCAGCTAGGGTCACAAGCATTTCGTTGTCATGACTCCTCACTCTGCTTTAGTCTGGGAGAGTTCCTGGTCTTAACTTTGTCTCTAACATAGTTTTGAAGAGTTCCAACCATTTATATGTAGAATGTCTG